ATGCCTGCTGTTCTGGTCCTGGCTCTCTGACGATGGCTCCAAACAACATCCACACTTCCTCCCACAGTCTCCGCTCCAAACCATCTTAGTCACTGTCCTCTCATCCGTTCCCCGTTTTCCACATCTTACCTTTCACTAGGGATGCTCCCCACATGCCACCAGCATGGCATCAGCATCCCCATTCTGCTGCCTCATGTTACCCTTTCATTAGCTTCTACTTATCTTATTTCTTCAGATCCTGAACTCCCAAAGCACTTCTGTCTTTTTGGGCCCCATTCTGGACAGCCCTCAAGCTAAAAAAGCCCTAAAAAAAGGATGGGTAGGAGCTGGTTTGAACTGGCTGCTGTTTAATCTGATACTAGAGAGATTTAACTGTGTTACGCAGAGAGAAAGTGTGGTCCCTTCAAGTCGCGATGTATCCTACATCTGTTTAAAGGGAGTGTATACACATTTTCCCCAGCCCTACATGGTTATCACTCTTCCGCCCCCAGTCAGTGATAATTTACCTCTTTGGATGGTTTCCTGAGCACATCACCTACTCCACCCCCACTCCTGAGCCCATGACTCAGTACAGTAACAATGCACATCAGCAACGTCTCGCACGTATGCTCTTTATTCTCTTCCTCCATTTCTTCAGTGACCAGCTCTATTAACACAGCAAGCAAAGACACGTTCAGAAGACAAGAAGATCAGTTTTAAGTAATTCTCTCCATTCTCTGCTGGTTGTGCTCTCTTTTCCCTTTGCAAAAACAGACGGATTTCCAGCCTGCACTGCAAACCTCCTCAGCTCCTGTGAAGAGCCGCCCATCGGAGCAGGTCTCTGCTCTGGCTCCAGCCTTCCCTCCTCTCCCCACCAGCAAGAGTTTTCTTTTGTGCTTGAGCTGCTGTCTTTGACTTGGTGAAATATCTCTTTCAATTTCTGTTAGCATGCCGAGCTCAGATCACCAGATGCCTGTTTATACAGAATCGTAGCTTTCTGACAGCTCTGAGGACAAAGTGTTGCCTCTTACGCTCTCCCTTGGTGCCTGACAGATTGCAGAGCCTTTGGGCTGCACTCAAAATGGCAACTTCCACTTGTATTTTTCAAATGGCTAAAATATCACTGCTTATGGAAACAGCATTTTACTAAAAAAGTAATGCCTTTTTTTGACCCTGTCTTCATTTGGCTGAAGCCTCCAACTTCACTGTTTCAGTTGCAGAACCGTGAGAATTCCTTACCTAGTCTCATCTACTCTCCCTGTACCCATTAAAAGCCTCATGACTTTCATTTCATCATAAAAATGCTCATGAGCAGATCCCACCTTCCCACAGAACGCCTTAGAAAGGCCCAAATCCTTGTGCAATCCAGAAATACCCAAAATGCAAGATGGCAGAGAAATAGCCAAAGAGCTGGGCATCATTACTATCCCTGGCCACATAAGACTCTGATATCGGGTTGATTATTTATGGTATAAAAGCATCTCTGGAGTTTTCCTTTCCGCAGCCAAAGGGTATAACGACAAAGCAGCTCACTCCTCCTAGAGATGCTTAAAGCAGCTGTTGTAGTATCAATGCTGAATCTTAGCTTATCAAAGAGGACACTTGAGCAAAACAGAGCCATCTCCTCGTGCGAGCACGGGCTCATGGCCATTATTGACCTTTGGAGCATTTGACCATGTAAGAGCTCCACTTCTAAAAGAAATAGTGGTGTTCTGTCTGGCTCTCACAGCCAGCATCATCAATCTCTGAGAAGCAAGTTACATTTTCTAGAAAATAAAACTGAAATATTTCACTGCCCAATCTGAGGCTGGCGATTATGCTACAAGCAATATCTCACATGTACTTTTTTGATCTCAGAACCCCCCAGACCTACCCTCTCTGCTTAATCCATTGAGTACTTCCTGCCATATTAAAAACAGTTTCCTTAGTTAGCTAGATAGAATAATGCTGACAATAAATTATGTTCTGCTCTGTATTTCACAGGGTATTATCCTCTGAGATCATATTTAATAGCCTAATGTTTTAAAATAATAAACTTTGTAAAGAAGTAAACTGCATCACTTCCTTCTTAAATTGATAAGGTAAAAAATTAAACAGTCAAGACAGTCTTTTATTAAAATATGGTTTAGTTCTAAGTTTCTCTAGTTTAATCACTTAATGTAACAAATGCCATTTATGCTGTTGGCCTAAATTAATCCTATTTCAAGTCAGATAGTCTTGTGATAGCTTTGTTCCCAGATTTATTATGTGGGAATTTTTTTTTAAGAAATTATAATTTGTCTAATTTAAGGTACTTAACCTGAGAAAGTGTGAAAACTCAAGGTGTGAGTTATGAATTCAACAGCAGATACTTACGGTCTGAAGGAATGATTGAAGAACAGTTTTCACTGCTCCCTGCTTTGCATACATCTGAATAAAGAAACTCTCCGGTCATGGTCTCACCTGGTTCTGTGCGATCTAAAAACAGGTGGTGATGAAGCAAATGGAGAGTTTAACATTTAGCACGTTTTGCAAGATTACTTCGCAGATATTAAGGTATCATCCTATCATGTTCAGTGTGCAATTACTAGGCAGATTTAGAATAGTGTATTATCATAATATCCTGTCCACTTACACATCCAGTGACTTCAAATTCAAACATTTTTTTTTCTTAATTCTATGAATTAAAGAACAAAGTTGTGCATTTATTTTGCAACAGCTCCAAAGTTGAGAGAGCAACTGAAATGGTTCCAAAATGACTATGTTCTAGTGCACAGTGGATTCTGAAGGTGCCTTGAAACTGCCTTTCATTGCCTTTAGAGTACCAAAACAAACCTACTGCCACACAGTAATACTTCTTTGGCATTTCTCCAGCTGCATGAAAAGTGAAATAATAGGGTCAGTGAGGTTTGGGTCTCTCACAGGGTTAGCAGTAAAATTAGAAAAAATAGTGGGAATGACAGATAATACTCGTCTGAATAGCTCCAGTATCAGAGAAAAAAAACCAAAACCAAACAAAGACAAACCCCAGATGAGTGTGACCCACTAAGTTAGTAGGTTGATGCTGCAGGGTGGCAAAACCCCCAATTTTAACTTACAATAAGCAACCTAAGGTCAGCACAGAGAAGTCTGCTACGGAGTTTAAACTGCAGCAAGTATTTGAGGGAGGCTAACACATTCTATAAAACTGAGCAAACCAGAATTACAGATATAAACCTCTGCTTCACAGGAGCATCCCTTTGATGCCCTTCATTTATATTCAGTCTGTGATTTCAGATAAAGTACTAATTTTTGTTATGTTGAAACAAAACCCCACCATTAAAAGCCAATGTAAGCATTCAAGGTCTGGCAAACAGAGGCAGAACTGAATTCTCCCAGTGCAGAGCCTTCTCCACGATGGCCTACCTAAAGTCTGCTTGTAATTAAACTGAGGGAGGGAGTAGGTGTAGCTGAATTAGATAATCTCAACTGTTCTAGCAAACAGTGAGAGGAGAAAGCTCAACTGTGTGCAGAAGAGCCCAAGTGCTACCTCCAGGGGTTCTTCCTCCCCATCCCTCTTTATGCTGCAGCAGACAGCAGTGTTCTGTAAAAATTCTGGGGTATCCATTTGCCCCAATTAGTAACTTCTAAATTTTATTTTCTATTTAAACAGTGTCCTTTGTAAGAAAGAAATTATTAAACTGGTGAGGGAATTGGTATGTCTTGCACACCCTGGGGAACAGAAGCCCATTACTTTCTTCAACACAAGCCATCAAAATGAGTCACTGGTACCAACCTGGCAGTAACGTTTCATTAGGGAGCTTGTCTACTTCCAGGATAAAGTCATCTTTGAAGAAGAGGTACCCCACTATGGAGAACAGGTAGACCAAGATGAGGGCGAGAACAGCCGTCAGGATGATGGAGCGCCCATTGCGAGTGACGCTCTTGATGACGTTCAGCAAAGTCTCTTCTCGGTACACCAAGTCAAAGAGCTGGGGACAACGAACAAAAGCACAGGCTGTTTCTCTGTGTACTACCAATACAACTGGTGGCATGCTACATGTTGGCATAGCATGGGGCAGCACATTAACAATACCAATCTGATGTTTTAAAATGCCTTTAAAGCACCTTTTTGTTTTTTTTTTTTTCTTTTAAAAATTATCTGAAATTTAGCATATTGGCAAAAAAAATGCAGCAGCAAGTGGGGCAGATGGGGTCCTTCACCTCCATTGTACCAGTCTTGTGCTGTGCACTTTGAAACAAGAATAACGAGGCAGCTGCACCTCCTCTGCATCTGCATTTCACAGCCCCCAGTTCTGAGCAGCAGCATGGGAAGAAGTTCCTACCTGGGTTGAGGGCAGGTATTCTAGCTTAATGGCTACATATACAGCGTATATCTACTGTATCTGTTTTTTAGTACTGTCTGCCCCATTGCCACCTCAAAAGAGCTCATTTCAAAATGCAATTAGCTATTTCCTTTAAACCTCAGTTTACTGACTGTATAATTAAACAAGCAATACTTTTGCTTAAATTCTTTGTTTAAATTTCTTTACAGACTTTTCCTTCATTTTTCAGTCCTCTGAGTCTGTGACAATTCACCAGAATAGGCCAGGCAGGTTGCTGGCTATGCTGGTTGACAGTGAGAGGACAGGTACTTGTTAAATCAGACCTACATGAATACAGAAAATAACCAATTCAATTTTCAGAGGATGTAGCAAGCATCAAACAAAGGAACAAAAATAGAGCATTCTGAATGGGACTTAAGGTTTGCTTTAAAAGTAGCACATTTTCTCCACCAACACCAGATATACTCCTTCAGTGCTTATTCTTAGAAGTATCGTGGTGTGCAAGACGAATTCCACCCCAAACAGAAAAACCACATATGCCAGGCATCTGTGTAATTCGTGTCAGGTCTCAAGTCTTAGCTACAGCTAAGGAGGTGCTCCAAAGGTAACCAAGTGCTCAAAGAGCACAGACACTGTTATAGTTACTGACAGCAACAGAGTAAACCATCTTTAAAGACTGTGTGCCTCTTACTCATAGCACAGTAACTCCAAAAGTGCCTACTAACATTTCTATGGCTAGATTCTTCAATGATTTTTTTTCCTCTCATGTATAAGAGCTCTTATGACCTTAAGAAGGCTTAAACCTTCACCAGGTATTGACAGAACTTGAAGTCAAGTTTTAAATTGTTTTATAATCTTGGAAGTCAGAACATGGTCACAAGGAATACATCTGACCTAAAAAACCTGTCCCTTTGAAGTCTAAGAGGACTAACACACAGGAAAATGCTAAATACCTTTGTAATTGCATCTACATCTACTGTGATGAGCAATGGTATCTGAATTTAACCTTAAACACCTGTCTTGCTTAAGGAGGACAAAAAAATCCCCACTTGTCTGTACACCTCAGGAAGAAGAGATGTGGTAGGAGTCCCACAGCCTCCCACCATGACTTCTCCCAAGCAAGATCTCCAGCGTGCGGTTCTCCAAGGAGCGCCTGCACAACAGCTCCCAGGAGCGAAACAGAAAGCGGCGTGTGACACATCTCGATATGCCCGAGGTGGGACTTTACATAGTTACAACACAAACAGAAAAACATTGAGGGCAAAGCGAATACCTACCAACAAACTATAAAAAAATTCGTGTACAAACAGCCCCAGCGCGCAAATCAGAAGGTACAGCAGGTGATAGAGAAACTCTACATCCATGATCATCGCCTTGTATCCTCTAGTGAAGGTTCCACAGTTACCCACAAAGCTCATCAGAAAAATGATTTTATTACAAACCTAAGGAAAGATTGACCATAATTAGTTACATTGGCTTTTATGAACAAAAAAAAAAGTGGCTTTTATGAACAAAAAAGGTCAATTTTTCAAAGCTGGAGATAACTCGGCTCCATGATGATACCAACCACCATGCTGAATTGTCTGTTACACGACAGTGTTTTACACATCAGCCAAAACCTGCTTTCTGTTGTGTTTTCTGCACAGCCAACACAGTGAGCCGAGAGCTGCACACATCTAATAAAATGTGCACACCGACTCCTGTGTCCAGCTTGCTGTCCAAGGGCATCAAGACTAAGATTTAAAGAAGAAAAACACTTCTTGGTGTGAGAGGTAAATCTTCATTAAAAAACACCAAACCAAACCAACTCACCCTGTTCTAAGCATGACACTTTCTGCAGTCAGACAACTCTCCAGCCTACAGCAACTCTTGCATTTCCAAACCACCTCCTATCACTTGCTAATAACCCAGTGCTCCAGATTCCCTCAGCAATTCACCCTCGAGTCATGCACCCTGCAATCCTCCTGGGTAGCCCCAGTTATCAGCACCAGCAGAAAGGCTGCCTTCCACTCACCTGGAACCTGCTAAATGCTAAAATTACCAATAACGACAACAACCACCCTCACAATGCAACTCTGATTCTGCAGCACAGGCACTCAGTGACGTATTTTGAAGACAAGGAGCGCTATTAAATGATGCACTTGAAAGCTGGGCCCTTCATAATAAAGGCAAAGACTCTGAGAAGACGTATCTTTGCACTGCTCCTGCTGACTCAGTCAGAGAGAAACGCTTTTGGCTCCCTCACCACAAGAGACCACAAGTATCTGGGTCTGAGTCTTAATGAAGGTCTCTGGGGGCTCAGCTTACATGCTCGGTCCACACATTACTGTAGCAAAACTGCTTGGTGTCGGCTTTTGGCTGGCAGGTAGGCTGCAGACATTTGGGAAATGCATCATTTAGTGGATATTACACAACCCCAAAAATACTGTAGCTTAGTCACTGAACAGGAGATGGGTTTGAGTGAATAACTGAGTACTTCAGGGTCACAGAGACTTCTTTACCTTTCTTGTGTTCCACCACAATGTCCCAGGCTATTTTTGCCTGATGTCTTCACGAGCAGGTAAGAAACCCTTACATAAGACGCAACAGAAGTGGGCTTCCAAAAAGCCCACTCGATACTTACGTTGAATGCACCCAGGAGAAATAAAGTAGGTTGTAAACCAACTGAAAATATTAGTCGTAATATTGTAGAAGCAATTAAGGCTCGGATGCCGTGGGGCTTAGGAAGAGCTATAACGATGGCCAGAGATATCAGCATCGCTGTCCACAACAAGCCAGACAAGTGGGGCTCCAGTGTACCTAGGGTGGAAAGGAACAAAACAAACCTATTTCAATACTTTGTATAACCAAACAAAGCCAAAATAACCAAATAAATGCCATTTTGCCCTATCTTTGGTGGAGCATCATTAAGCCTCACGTTCAGACATTACTGATTTCAAAGCAGTAAGTGGAACATCTGAGCCCAATGCTTTCAGCAGATTTTAATTACAAACTTGTTTCTAAAGTGTTATGTAAATGATAAGCACCAGTATTATAGGATTCTTCAGTTTAACATTCATTACTTATATACCTTGAATGCTAAAAAGGAGAGGCATTTTGCTGATGTGTTGAATGGGTAGGTGAGGACAGACCACATACTCCTCCAGGTCCGGATTCACAGCAGATTCTCCTATTAAGCTTTTGGTCAAAAACCTCGTACCAGATTTTGTCATCTCTTGCTATTTCTGGTTCTATTTAGGCTGTCCCATGAGACTGCTTACATAACATCAGCCCGTGTGGCTAAAAATACACTTCTCTGAAAGAGCCATAAAAAATACTCAGCCGAAAATACCGTTTACCCTGGCTTTATACGGAATATAGAAGACATCTTTTTCTTAAAACCGACATTAAAAATGCTTTTCTATAAGAAACTGGTACCTCAACAGACAAAAAGGCAAGACCTCCCCAAACCTCGTAGCACTCTGCAAGAACATACTCAGAGGACTGTGGTGTCTTATTGGCAGGATATTCACTGAGGGCTTTTTTCTTCCCTCCACCCAAACTCAGAAGGCTTACGAAAAATTATTCTCATCTGACTACCATGAGCAGCCATTTAATTTTGTTCCAAATCACTATAGATTAATAAAGACAGCAGAGGATAGATGGAAATTAAAACTTAATAAGTATAAAGTCGAACAGATGTTTCCGCTGTCTGAAGGGAGTTTGGGATCCCAGAGCAACGCCGCCACCGCTGCTGGAGCTGTCAAACAGCAAAAGGTGCAGAGCTCGAAACAGAGTCACCCGAGTGGGAACGACAGACAGCACAGAGAGGGGAGAGAGAAAGAAAGATGTGCAGAAGCTCATTTAGGAATGACTTGGGAACTGCTGTAAGAGGCAGATCCTGAAGGATCCTGCCTGCACTTGCACCAGTGTCTGAACATACCAGCTATTACAAAGCCATCCACGGCACATGAACGCATTTGCTTTCACAAGTTTCAGCAGTTCCCATCAGGTTTGCAAAAATAACCAGAGTTAAAGTCCTGAACTGTCACCTGTGGCACCCGCCTTGGAAGGTCCCGACACCATGGGCTGCTCATCAGCACAAGGAGCGCGATGCCACAACACACAAAGACCTTAATGGGACCCCAGTTAGGGGAGTACAGGGGCTAAGGGCACAGCTTGTCTCTCTTTCCTGGGGACAGAGAGAGACTGACTAAACTGGGAACGGTGGTTTTGCCCTTGGATCACCAAGCCAGGTCACTCAACATCAACTGCCCACACCCAACCTAAGGTCCACGCGCTTGCTGTGAGGACGTCCAGCCCGCTCCATGGCTGCTGGCAGGAGGAGCAGGTAACCAGGAGGACCTGGTAGGAAGCTCTCCCTCTCTCCGGAATTCTCACCCTTCCAGTACCGAATTCCAGGCATCCAGCTTTGTTTCTGCTCCTCAAGTCAGAAGTTTTACAGTTTCTGCTACAGGCGGATGCTCATCAGCTGCTCAGTGCACCATGTTTGAGCAATTTAAGACATTGACAACTTCCCCCATACGGTCTGTTTTGAAAAGTCTTTTTTTTTTTCCTTTAAATCTAAATATAAAACACACATGTATTTTTTTTTATTTTACATTTTTGATTGTAACTAGTAGAGGAAGAGATTTTATCAAAATGTTACCTGATAAATCAAGTATTTCAAATATGCAGGGTAGGGCATCTTCAGGATGCCAAATTATCCCCCCCAAGTCTTGCAATTTGTAATCTCAACGAAGTTGTTTAATTACCAGGTTTCCTAGCAGCCATCAATACAGACTTTTAAATTTTCATTTGTGATCTTTGAAACTAGAAACAGAAAACTCGGTTGTTCTTTGAGCTTGTTAAAACTTTTCAACCAGCTGCTGGCCAGAACAGGACCCGGGTAGCGCCGTGGCCTGCACCCACAGGGCACAATGCAGAGGTCCAGCAGCTGAAACCACAGCGGCTTGCTGCAAAGGGAACGATAACTCTTCTTCCCCCTCAGGAACACCAGATTTTAGTCTAAAATATCCTGTACCTTCCCACAGGCTTCATCAGGATGCAGAACCCCTAAATGCAAGTTTTCCATGCCCACTGCAACTATAAGCTGCCATCAAACATGACTTGGACAAAACGATAGCTCTCCTCAATCTGAATTAACTGCTCAGCTGCAAAAAGGGTGAAGCAGCTTTTACGCTGCACACAGATTGCCCAGCTGGTAATTTTCTTATGTTCAGGCTACTGCTACCTCTGAGCTGCCACAGCTTTGGGTTCTGTAGTCAGCAATGAACATGAGAGAGATGCAGAGGGAAGTTCAGTAGGAGAAGATAAGCATCCAACTGTGGCATTATGGATCTCAGAGAAAGGGAAGTGAGGGCCTGAACAATAACCATCCTCTCCAGGAGGAGGTTTTACTGCTGGGGTCTTTATTTATTGAATTGGCTCTAAGAACCACCACTGTCCATAAACCTACATTTCAGATCAAAAGCATCTTCCATGAGATCTATTACAGCAAGATTATGCCATCCCACACAAGTTAACTCATCTTTTGTGTCAGGAATGATGGCAAACCCAGCTGCTACCTGCTGGTGGTGAGGAACCTTGGAGCATCAGGTTGCTCATGAGTCAGGGGAACAGCTGGCGAGTTCCTCCTCGCTCCTGAGGCAACTTCTGCTCTGAGTGCTTGGAGGGGTGAGGGACCCCTCGGAGAGACAAGCAGAGGGGAGAGGAGCTCTTTTTCTGCATCATCCATCAGTCTGTATTGGCATAAGGCAGGTTATTTTGCCCCTGATCGCCCCACTTGCCAACACAGGGTAATCTCACTCCCCCCATTCCAACGCTCCCGAAGTGCTACGGTATCATGAAAGTTTTATGACAAGTGGCATTAATAAAATGCAAGCTTGATGAAAACAACAAATTAACATTTCTCATAATTTTAGTTCAATACTTAATTACAGAATTTTAAAACAAACCAGAACAGTCAAGTAATTAAAGGTGGATGCCTGCCTTTGATAATTTTTCCCCTAGGAAAAAGCATGGCTCTACATTTTCCTTACAAATGCCTCAAGAAAAAGTAAGTCAGAGAACAGTGCCATTCAAAACAAGGCAATTAAAAAAGCCAGTTTCTGTTCTGTCCTCAGTGAAGTAAACAGGAATGCACAGACAAGTGGGGGTGCAGAATTTGGCTCATTATACCTTATTTGTTCATATATTTATGTTAAATATTGGTACCTCCTCGAATTCCTTTGAATGGATAAAAAAATGCTACCAGCAGGTTCATAAGGACAGCCAGGTTAAAGGAAATACTGCTCCAGAAGGACATGTTGCGAGCACACCAGTATAGGAAAGGTTGAGCTGCAAAAGAGAGGAAAAAAATGTTTAATTGAGTATTTAAAAAACCAGAGGCCTATATAAAAAATTAATCTCTACCAAAATTTAGTTTATTTTCAGTTTGCCCAAGAGCACAGCATCAACAGTAGTAATATTCATGGCTTATTCTTGAGTTTAATTTGATTACTCTTTATCTTTGGGGTACATCTAGTTTCCTAGCTAGTGCTAAGGCAACGGACTCATGGTAAAAAGGAACACATTTTCAAACATGATTTAGTGGCAGCATGAGAATGAGTTCAAGGACTTCAAGCTTCCCATGTACTTCATGCTCAGAGTCACACAAAGAACTACAAGGAGGAGGAAAATCTGTAAACGTTACCATCGGTGAGATTCAGCCCCATCCCTCCCAGTTAGGCTGCTGCCAGCAGCTCACTGACACGAGACACTGCCCACCCTCAAACCTCTTCTCCGCTGTAGTAAGCCAGAAAAAACGCAGCAAAGACAGTGCAAGGTGGACAGCTGAGACCCAAAATGCAGCACAGCGACAGAACAAAAAAGCTAAAACATTTAGGACCAGTTGCCAAGCCAGTAGGACAACTTTATTTCAAACTGATAAATTTTAATAATCTCTGCAGCAAGAATCAAGAGGCACAGGAAGCAGAAGGATTCATTTTCTGAAGTGGTCATGGACAGGAAGATGACAGGGACGGCTAAGAAGCTGCCTTACAGTAATTCCCTCTGCATCAAGGCAAAATCCCCGATTTTAGCTCCTGCAGGCTTATTTTACAGCAAATTGTGTACTCCTGAAATCTAGAGTGGCAAAAAAAAATCTATTAAAAATGCTCTCAAAGAAGGGAAAGAACTAATACTTTTCCCTGTTTGAAGGGGGTGACGTGTACAGGCATCAGAGAGCAAAGGAAAAGAAGCTCACAGTGAAATTTAGGGAAAAAATGAGAATGCAAACTCTGGGGCTGAAAAGTAAATTAATGAATGCAGCAATTCTGAGAATCACAGTGGCCACCACCTCTCTTCAGCAAATCACTTCTAGCATCCTAAGCTAAAAAATGGGTTAAAAGAATTACACAATGCCTCATTATACTGAGTTGAAATGCACATAAAAAGCAAATGCAATGAACAGCTGAAAGCAAAGGAAAGGACTACAGAAAGGTACCCGTCACTGTACCAATACAAGCTCCACTGCGCCTGATTAGCCAGGGACACGTTAAGCCTTGCTGAAACGTGATGTAGCCACGTTTCAAATACACGATGCATTGATTTCTATATCATCTCTGTTCTCAGGTTCATTTTAACTGGAAGAATTTACAAGCAGGTTGAATTCATTTGGATGACATTGTTATATTAAGGGCAATTACCAAGTTCCAGTTTTTACTTTAAATTTTCCTTTGGGGATGGGCACAGAGTATCTGCCCTTTGCAGCACTCCTGCCTGCTTTTGGCAAGCTCATTCCAATTTCCTAATTAAGGTTTTGGGAGATTTACGGTGCTTGGATGATGGGCTAGCACCGTGAGCTGAAGGAGGAAAGAGATGGGTCTTTAGAAGACTTTTTTAAAAAAGTCTTTCTCAGGTTTGAATAAACTGTAGACCAGAATATTAGGAGACAGACTAAATTATTCCAGTTCCTAAAAGGAAAAAAAAATATTCTACATTTCTGATCAGTTTGGGGTCTGTTGTTATTGATGGATGTTTTCACAGCTTGCCTGGAGACAGCCTCAAAGACAATTAAAATAACTAAAGAGTCTCAACTTCAACAACAAAATCTAACACAATATACGGGTGCTGCCAAAGACAAAGTTGCCCATTTATTTAGGATGTCAAATGCTCCCATATTCTTGCAGACTTCTTAGAAGCCATTTTAGGGAGCAGCTTCCTGGGGATTTTGGTGCTGTCAGAAGAACTAACCCACTGCTTGGTGGGAATAGCTTCACTCCATTTAGTACTCATACACATGAAAAATATTTCAGTAGAGCTGACCAAGTTTCAGGTGGTCATATCTGTGCCTGACTTTGACAATTTTAAATAGTATGACTGCAATTATTTTCTCTGTTAAAAAAAATCCATTAACATAGATATATACATACATGCCAACAATCAGAAGCAAATATTGAGTTTCCATTACCAAGTGTGCAACACATCATCAGCTCTAGTGGAAACTGTGCATATGCGTCCTAAAAACAAACTGGAAAGAGTCCAGGCTCTTCTTGGAGGTGAACACACAGTGAAAGGGTGAGCTGCAATCGTCAGAGGTTGCAACAAGGGAAATAATTTTATAAAAAATAAATGAGGAAGGTCAAGAGGTCCCTTTCTCACCAATTTTTTCCCTATGCCACCAAGGTTGCTGTCAGGGGAAGGCCTTTGCTAACAAGGCTAGAGGGCTGCCTGGCCCCGCAGGCGGGTGGTGGTGCTGACAGCAGCACACAGCTCTACAGAAGCCCACTCCCACATCTGCTCTCGGAGGTGGTTCTAGGCCAGTCTGTGCTCTTGCATGAACAACTGGAGTTTAGCTGATGCAAGCATGGGGAACAACGGTGGTATCAGATGGCAGATGTTGACTTGAGCAGGAAAGAACTGCTTTATCTCTCACGTTTCAGAGGAAAATTCTAACGACTCTGCCCACTGACGCTGAGCCTCATGTGCAATGTTTTTCCTTCAGCAAAACAGGATTTCTATTTATTTATTAAATAACTTTAGGCAAATTAGTTAGAAAGTTTACTGGGGGAAGCAGTGGCATTGTATGGAGTAAAAGATAACTTTTACGTTTTTCTAGCTCCTCAGAGGCAAAAGCAGTGCATGAAAATGCTTGCTTTCAGATATTTTAGCATCATGGGGCTCAAAAAAGGGACTTAATCGACATGTCTGTCCATCTACTCCTTGCCCAAAGAAAGGATGAATTCTACTTTTACCATTAGTGGAAAATGCATGTTTAACCTGTCCTGAAATACTTCCACTGCTGGAAATGCCGTAAGTCCACGCTGCATTACCCAGCCTTACTCCGCCTTGCACTGCAAGGGAACTGCTCTGTGTATCCAGCGCAGGGAAGGAGAACCGACCGCTGCTTTCTTCTGCTGTGTCCTCTCCATTTCTCCCTGCCACCAAACGTCTTCTTGTTTAAGCTAAGCCTCCACAGATTTGTTCCTTCCTGTTGGATCTTAAAAAAGATGACCTGTGATCCTTCTTACAACTCTCCCCTGGATCCCCTCCAGTTGGTCCATATTGCTCTTGCATTGAGCTCGACTTCGTTACAGCACGTTGCCATCGTGCAGAGGAGCAGACTCTTTCCAACAATTAGCAACTGGGGAACCATCTGCTACCAAGTCAACATTTCAGACACTGAAAACCTGACCTCAGTGCTCTGCTGGTAATGCTCCACGCAACCCAACCCACCTCGCAATTTCTTTTGCCAGTTCATCTCATTAAAGAGGTCTTCTGATTTCATGAAGAAGTCGTTGATCTTGCTGCCCTGTTCATCCCTCTCTGTGGTATAATATATCCGCAGCTTGGACTCCTTCGTGAGGAATTCACATATACTGGGCACGGGGAAGACGATTTGCTCCATGGTACGGTCTGACCTGACAATCTGAACAGCAGCATTATTAGAGTTCTTCCTAGCTTTTAAATGCTTTTATTTCTTGTTTTGTCTACAATTCAACCCCCCACCTTTCAAACCAGCTACGTTCAGAAACTTGGACACATTTCCGTAGAACAGCAGCTTGATAAAGACTTCATTTAATTTACCTTCCAAAGCAGGCCTACATTTAGCTCCAAGACTGATAATTTCAATCCTGGCAATACTGTTCTTAGCTGGAATTCCCAAGGGGTCCAGTGAATCCTGCACCAAAGCTGAGCTGCATTTCAGAGCGCTCTGGTCACCCAATTCAAGAATCTTAGCAAATTTTAGCCACGCATTGTGCAGGGAAGTACGAGGAATAATAGTTACATTTATATTGCTTAATAAAGAGTTTCGCAAACTCTCTTGTTTTACTTTTAAAAAACATCTTAGATTGTACATCAGGCAACATTGTACTTGTTATTTTACTACAGAAAGAATGGCAAAAGCCATCACTAACTTTATGGATTCAGCAATAGTACCGGCCAAAATGCAACAGAAGTGAAGTTACAGTTCCTCCTGCCAACAGAGCTCTGCTCAGCTCCATCTTAAAGCCCACACATGACAGCTCAAAAATAGCTCCCCCCCAGCGGCTGTCAAAAAATAAAATAAAATAAAAAAGTACATATATATCCTTATGTCAAAGATGACAGTCCACACACAGGTAGTCAGTTCAACCAAAATACCACGTGTAATGTAACCGGTGTTCAACTCCGCCGTGTCTCTCTCCACAGATCACTGCCCCCCGCACACCTCCCGGCAGCCCCTGGTTTCCCTTTACCTCGATCTGTGCCGTGTGCTTGGCGTAAAACTCCAGAGCCTCATCTCCCTCTATCTGACCTCCCGGCTTCAGCATGTTCTGCAGCTCTTTGTTATGACGAGCCAACTAAAATAAAGAAATGCAAAGGGAGTGGGAGACACCAGATGTCTCTCTCTGATATTAAATTTCTGATTTTTGGCATAAAAACAGAAATAGTATGCAGTCAGCTGCTAAGAAAGGGCAAAGTTGACAGAAGGCTTGTTCTGTTCCAACCAGACACCCTGCAGCTCTATTCTGGGAGCAAGTCAGAATGATTCAAATATGTATTTTTTTTAATATCCATGTTGTACTCCTCTTTTACCCATCCTCTCCCACCCTTTGTCTGAGATGGGAAACTTCTTGAACTTTCACATTCGGTCTAGGTCTCTCCTTCTACACCCACTCCAATTCAAAGGTATGCTAATCACACAAGCATCGAGGCAGGGACAGAAGAGAAAATTTGCATTAATTGAAAAGCAGTTGCACAGAGCACTGCTCAAAAATGCTTCTGGATGCTCTAAATGCATCTTAACGCATAATGATGGGTTTTTCTCTCAGATGCAATAGGAACAAGGACTCTCTAGTGGAGTGATATATGTAGCATCAATATATTAAGTAGATCTAGGTATTTTTTCCCCCTTGGTCTTTTACCTTTCAAACACGACATTGTATCAATACAATGAACTTGACTGGCTCCAGCATAGGTGACAGGAGAGAGACTGTGGTAAGAACCATAAAAGCAGAGTAAGATTTCTGCTTATGGTTTAAGTGACCCATGAGTAGAACTTCTTTGGGAATATAAAGTAACCTTTGATATAGCTGAAAAATAATACATTGCTCCCCAGTACTGCCAAGAACTTGAATCACGTGTCTTCAGAAACTCGATCAGGGGCCTGCCTGCTTCCCATTCTAAAAGAAAATTCAATGTTTTATTATAGAATTTGCTTTTCTGATTCTTTAAGGATTGGAATTTGCTCTGACAAAAAGAGAACGTGCAGTGAGTTTGTCTCAGAGGTAAGCCACTAAAATTATCTCAGTGCAAAGCACTGTTAGTCACAGTTTGTGACGCTTGGTGCTACAAAAGCTGCAGATGAAATTCTACCTGATGAGCCAGTATATAAATGTTGTGTCCCACATTCCTCGGAGATGCCGCAAGGTCTTCCCCATTCTCTCCATCCTCAAATTCTACTTCTCCCTGCAGATAAGCCTTCTTTATCACTTCCACCTAGAAAGAGACATGGGCCAAAAAAGAGACAGCTCAGGCTGAAGTCTGCTAAGGTCAGTTCACATCTGGGACTCTCGCAGGGGTGAAAGGGAGCTGAGCACACACACTCAAGAGGAAGGTCAGTGGGCTTCAGGATGTAACAGGAGACCTGAACTCAGCACCTCCAGCCCAGCTCATCAACACGAGCAGCTAAACTTCACCTTCCTCTCTAGGTGATGTATTCCGGGCCACCCTTGTCGAGCGCTGCGTCACGTTCTGACCTCTGGCCCCCACCGCAGCTACATGCACCGAGACAAGTCAACTGTGTTTCAGCTGTACTCTGAATATCTTGTTTGTGTTTTCACCAGTTAATACATTAACCAGCCCAAAAGCCTGCTACAGTCTACTGAACAGCTTTTAGGTCACGAGCAATTTTCATTTCTCTCTGCCTCTTATGCAAATGCCTTCCATGTGTGGATTTCGAAGCATCACACAATGCTTCTTCCCTTCCTTATGCAGGATGCTGAATACCTCCTCCGTAGCATTCCCTAATCGCTCGTGCTGCCTGGGAACTAGACAGACCCCTCTCCTGTGGATATTGCCCTCATTCAACCAAACCCTTGAAAGGTCTTACAGATGCCATGCCCAGACCACCTGCAGCACCTCTGGACGAATATGACCACACCAGTCCCCCCAGTGCTGCTGTACCAGCCTTGAAGGGAGTCGAGAGTTTCAAAGTAACCCAGAGACTCACCAGCTCTTTGGGTCTCATGTTGTAGAGGATCCTCTCCGCATTCTCACTGTCGTGTCTGCTCTCCATGATCGCCAAGAGCAGTTTTGAAGCGTTATTCTGAAGGGAGGGAAGAACAATGGCAATCACTGCCTGGAGTCAATAAATGAGGGTACCCAGCTTGAGTGCTACCACCCCTGTGCCCAGAAGGGCTTGAGATACCTCGTTTCTATAAACATGAGCTGCCACAGACAGGGCAGAGCCTCCCAGCCAGCCCACTGCAGGACTCCTTCAGCCTCACCTCGCCAAGCATTCTCTTCACTCTAATTATTAAAATATACAACTCGGTAGTATTTTTTATTAGTTTACTTCCTATTTACTGGGGGACATCAAATTAACCTAAGTTAAGGTTTAGATTTCTAAAACGCTGAGGTCTCAAGCTCGTATCATTGTATTTTGTTTTAAAGATACTGCAGCATTACTGCAAGCTCTCAGCTCCAAAATGGTTCAGCTCAGCTTTACTCAAGATATTGTTGATTAAATCAAAGGGCAGCCAAGGCTGAAGACACAGACGTGCTTCGCTGCTTTTAACTGAAAATTGCTCTGCGACCTGCTCCTGCCAAGAAATAGAGGGAGGAAATGAGAAACTACCACAAGGCACCAGACTACTTTCATACGCACAATTAAGATTAAAATCCATCATGACTGACAATAAAAAACAATAAAAGTATTTAATTTTGAAGTATAATGCTAATTGAGTCTAAAAGCATTTTTTATTTCGAATAATAAAAAACCCACATTACCCATCATAATGGTGTGAGTTGGTAACGGAAAACAACCAGACATTGCACTGTAAGACAGGACAGTAAGTCAGAAAGGGAATATTTCTAAAACATATGCTGAGAAGCAAGAGCGCTCCGTGACTACTGCAGCTGGAAGACAACCTGCTGGTGTACTTTGAAACCAGCACCAGGACTAATTATTTCAACATTAATATGAATAGCCCTAAAAATGATGACTAAACATCAGCAACAACAAACTATTAGGAAACCAGATGTAGCACAAGAAATTTTACTTCCATTGTATACGTAAAAGCTCATCAACAACAGAAGTTTTCATCGCTTTGTATGTTTAACAGGAAATTATTTTAGGATTCCTCAGCATATCTTGACTGCCTGCATCCCCTGCCACCTGAAAACTGGTGGCTTCATGTCATCATTTAAAAGATGAAATACCTATGACAAACAATCTTTGGGCACTGCCTCCAGCTCGCTGATGTATATAATTTTTTGGCAGTTATGTATATTGGGATATAATAAACACCCACATAATTCCAACAATAAAATTATGTTTCATCTCACTGTTAACACACAAAACAGTCACTTGCCTTCAGTTCCAACACAAGGTCCATCCTCTTCTTCCCCAAAGGGTTGATGTCATTGAGAATTAATGCTGTGATGATGTCAATACCATTGGACTCGTGAGTAGCAATGCAGTTCTGTCCAAAGAAAATTCAGACTTCACTAATTGTACACACTAAAAATGCAGCCCAGGCTGGTGACCCAGCCAGAAAAGTCACCTCTTTCATCACCTCGTAAGCTGTTAGAGATGGATAACTGAACAGAGAACCAGTCAGTGGAATAACAAAGAGATTAAGGCATTTTGTTTCAAAATGCAGCAAGCTACCTTCAGCCATGGCATGTCCTACTGAAACCACCCAGCCTGAGGAAGCAGAAAACAACACAGTTGATAAACGAAGCATTGACATGCCAAAATGTCCAGGCTGAACACATAGCTAAGGAAGAACACTGTTTTACTAAGATTAGGAAGAGTTTTCTTTATTTTAGATCAACATCAACTTCAGTCCTGTCTAACCAAAGAATGTGAATTTCCATGACCTTCTTCCTTACCCTTTAATCCTGCTTTTATAACGGCCACTAACTGAAATGTGCAAACTGATGGTAGCTTGCTGGCTTCAAAATCCAGATCCCTGCTGTTGCTGAGTTCCACTGCAGAGATGCATACCCACATCTAAAGGCTGTTATTCCACCTGGTCCCCATTACAGAGAGAAACTTTCAGTTATGAACTGCCATGCACGGCTATCTCACTGGGAACCACCACCATGCCCCCACACACGCACCTGGCTCAACCCACAAGACTATGTCTGAAAACAACCTCAACCCCATGGTTATCAGTAATGAAGCTACAGAACTCCACCTTCTCCATCGGGCCGGGCAGTCTCATTTCTGAACTCATTTGCAACTGCCAACACAGCTTGGTTTTAGCAATATTTTGACTAGGAAGTATTTCAAGTACAGAAATTCCCCAGTCTCCCCGTCTGTCAAGTCTAATAAAACAACTTAAATCCTAGCAAAGCAGAAAAATCTCTACTGCTTTGAGTGGTTTGATTTCTCAGAAGGGGCCCGGAGAAAGAAAAGTTGATTATAAGGAGTTTATTGGTGGAGGGGGGAAACACCACCGAACCTCTTTGTAGGTAAAGTGTGCAGTTTTATAACACAAGACAAGTCTGTAAGACTGAGAGCCAAGTGCAACAGTGCACACGCTGCGGGTGTAGGGAGAAAAGGTGATGCTTTTCACAGCTATGGATGTTTTACCTGGTTCTCGTGGCAAGGCCCTTGGCAGTACTCAGTCAAACTTTCCAGCGTCTGGTTGATGAGCGCCACATTTTTCTCATTTATATACAGACCAAGAAGTCCAAGTCCACCAGTTGTGCTTCCACAGATACAATCCAGAAACTGCAGAGTCTCGCACACCAAGTTGTAGTTTGTCTTGTTGTTCTGGCAGCGAAGGAAATTCTGCGAGAAGAGTGGCAAAGATGGGAGATAAGGGGAAAAAAAACCCAACATACAAACTGATGTTTGGATCATAACATTTTATTAAGTTCATCAACCCGCAATTGCACTGCCTGGTATATTGCTCTAATGTCACTGGAGCCTGGACAGGCAATTTCAGCCTCTTTGAGGGCTCGGTTGCAACGCGCTGCTCTCTTGAGCAGCTTGTTGGCTGCAAATTTTATAGAAGACAAGCAGCAATAAACAGAGTGCCTCTATTAGAGCACTGAAATACAACACTGAATAGGAGCTTCCTGAGCCTGGGAGCTTTCCCTCTCGCCTACCTGCTACATTTCACTGCTCACCCTCACCCAAGGCGCTCTCCTCACAAGAGCTTTCTCCAAGGCAGGAGCAGCAATTCCCTGGCTCTGGCTTCACAGTGGCTCCACCTGCGCAGGCGGTGAGGAGGCACCTGACCGCATGCCTTGCGGGAAGGCGTCTCGCAATGCGATTCCCTCAATTGCATTTCTTCCCACATAATTATTGTAATCCTTGCTTGAAGCTGCTGATTAGGAGCAGCTCCTCTAATGAAATGCTGGATTTATCAGCATGGATTAAAGATGTTTCCTCTCTCCTGTATTTCAAATGAAAAAAAAAAAACCAAAAAAAACCCAAGCCCCAAACAAACCAAATCAAAACAAAGGAGGACAATTAATGAAAAAACAATTTCCCAGTGACTCAGATGCTGTTTGTCACTGTGCTCCCAGCAGCACGCTGTAAAAATGGGTAGATGCTACCACTTTCTCAAAGTTTCAGTAGGAGAACTCCTATCTGGCTTAACTCTAGCAGGCTACAAAACATTCGAAATGTGAAAAAAAGACCCTCGGATGAACAAGATGCATGGGACTATGGGACCAGCAAGGTGTTTGCTGCAAGCCTGCAGAGGAGCGCTGTTAACTGATTGCCTCCAGTGCCTGCGTCAGACTAATAAGTCTTTTAAGGCAAACAGACTGAGAAATTGCCAGATTCAATTGAAGGCTGAGCTAAAAAAGGAAAACGCTGTCTATGAATGCAGACTAAAGGTGACAGTGATTCAGCACATTTCAACTGATTGCTCATTTAGTATCTCGACTTTTGATTAACTTGTCAGAATGTAGAAAGGTTGATGTTACAGAAATCAGAGCTCATGCCTTCCCCTCCAGGAAAAAAAGCAAAAATATTGGATAGTACTGAAAGCAATGAAACAAGATGCTCTCTGGCTGCGGTATGGCATTTATTCTGATATAGGTAGGTTGATACCAGCCTTAGCTTCTTGATCCAAAGTCAATAAACACAAAGGAAAGAGGAGGAATGAAGCACAGGAGACGGGAGGACAATGTTAGATGGCTAACCAAGTGGAAGAAAAAAACTGCAGAAAGCAAGACCCTGCTGCACTGTGAGAAACTGCTCCAGGCTACGGAGTGGGAACACAACTCTTCAGTATTGAACACGCCAGCCTACTGCTTTCAGTGGGAACGAACCCGACGTGTGCACCATCCGCAAGACCTGGCATTCAGAATAAAGAGTGAGAGTTGCAGATTCAGCTAGAACACATGAAAACCAGGCAGCTTGTGGGACCTCGAGGAGAAAAGAGGAAAAGGAGCAGTCATAGTACATAACTTTCAGAATCCTATATACATGGTTGAGAGAAATACTTTCTGACGGGACGAAGTGTACTCAAAGTCAAGGAGACTTTATACTCCTACCTTGGTGAAGAACCTTCTGGAGATCCTTCGCTCGCTGACTTCATGCTACTCTCTGTTTTTAGGCAGCCCACTCCTCTCCATTTCTGCAATACCTGACCAGACAGGGCTACACCTGCAAAGGCTGCATCTGCAGTTCTTGATGCCTCTGCAGCACATCAGGGTGTTGGGGACTTGGCTGCCCAGTACACAGCCTAAAGCCAAGCACCCTTTAGAGAAAACATGATGGCTAAAAAGAAAACTGGCTGCTTTCACAATACCAGCTCAGTTTGTTCAGCCAGGGATGAACAACGAAGTCTTGGACGGAACTGTTCTACCATTTATGCAGGTTAATTCCCCCAAAAGCCTAAATGTTTTTTTTGAACAACCTTTCTTTTCGCAGAAATTTGATCTCGAATTGGAAAAAACTTTGCAAAGAACATAAATAAGAAGAAAGTCTAAGTAAAGACTTGTTTTAAATGATCAGATTTTTCTTTACAAGTGATTAGGTAAGGCAAGGCATTTTTTACCACTTGGCTTGGGTTTTGGTCCTATAAAGTTAATTCTCACACCCATTTCTTGCCTAAAAGATGGTGAGCTAAACCAGCTCATTCTCTGCATGCAGTAGTACTGTACCACTGGCCAAATTATGGAATCACTCTCCTGCAGTGTGCAGGGGTTTACTATTCTTTATTACCTAGGCTTTGTCTCCAGAGATTATGAAGAAAAGAAACAGTTAAATTCAATATTAAAAGTTATACCAATTCCCGTTTTGTTTTTTGTTTGTTTGGTTTTTTTTTCTTCACAAAAGCAGTATTTAACCTACTGACTTAGACCTTTAATCTGAGCATGACAGGCTAGCGTATTACTATAATATTTTTATTTCACAGAAATAACCCACTTAATGAGAAAAAACCCCCTGGATCTGTGTATTTCCCATGAAGACAGGGTTTTTAGCCGTGACGCTGGAGCTGCGCACTTGGCAGTGCAGAAGGCTGCTGGGTATCCCCTGCCCAGGTGCCGACTCCGCAGGACAGGCATGGCCCCCTGCCCCACCAGCAATCCCTGCTCCTCTCCTCCAGCAAAGCGTTCCCTGGGTGCTGCACTCGGCCTGTCACGAGCTTCAGGTCTCACGACCTACTCTGTGGTACAGGGGGACATCCTCATTCAGGAAAGAGCCAGGACAGAAAAGACCTCCTAAGCTTTGTTGTTGAGGTTGAGCTCTTGCACAGAATCAATGGTCAGACCTAATGCGAATTTAAGAAGATCCCCAAGTATTCGTGTGCTGAGAGAGAAACAGAGATACCAAGAGCACAGCAAAATTTGATGCATTCTGCCTGAAGCGGGTAACAAAACACTCTGCAGCATCCACCTGTTTGTCCCAGTCTTTGCATTACTTTGAAGAAGATATTGCAGCTCCTCCTGCAGACCCACGGAGTAAGCCGGAGGGGAACAGCACCCTGACTGCGACACAGGACAAACTGCAGCTTTATCTGCAAAGGGAGCAACTGAGTGGTGCAACTCTCTAAGCCATTTCACAGAAGACTTCCTCCTCATCTAAAACATATCGACTCTTACAGCCGTGACTTGCATTTTCCTGTTTTTGCACAACATAATTGCAAACGGCTTGTAAAATGCTTGGTTGGACAAACCTACAACCACACTGGGCAGGTGATTCCTATTCACTACTAATTCAAATCTAACTCACACACAGCTTCCAGGGTAGGTTGCATTTACTCCTTTGAGCAATGAGTCCATTGGCAGGATCGATAAGGTGTTCAGTTACACTGTACTAGCCACAGACACAGAGATTTTGAAGCTTCAGACTCTCCTGTCTCCCCTTCAGGGCTGAAGGAGAAAGGCAAGCACCAAGGCAGGCAACCAGCAAGAGGATTATACTTGAAAAATTGTTCCTCCCACATTTTTTTTTAAAAAACCACCCTTTTTCTTCCACAGCTGAATGCAACTACCTGCTGTTTGGGGAACTTAATTGTTCAGGATGGTGAACAGATCAGGCCAAGTTTCTGCATTGGCTTGAATCCCATTTTGCTCCTATAGCTTTCGGTGCCTCGCCAAAGACAGCAGCAGCAAAGGATCATGTGCGTGCGGTTTGGCCTGCTGCCACATAAAACTGCCGGCCTACTTGTCTCCGACATTGCTAACGGCATGAAAATTGTTTGACAAAACAAAGATCAAACGGGCTTTTTTGAAAAAACTTAGGAGAAACCCTGATGTATGTAACCTCAGCAGCTATAAAATGCTAAAAGAATTACACGTTCATAGCACAGGAGCATTACCATACAGATTTGATTTCCCATGTTGCCAGCAGCGGGGCATTCGAGTTCAGCGGAAGTGATTTGGCAGGTCTGAAAAGCTCTCACGCAGGGTCCTACACTTCTGGCGTGCCGTACAACAATATGCAATCAAGGCAATTATTCCTCCTTTATGAGGGCATTTAGCACATTGTACAGCGTCTCACTAGCTCCTCACTTGCTTTCAATTCTAATCCAGCAGCAATGGTTGCGCTGAACAAAAATCATGTTAATTGCAGGCCATTTGTAAGCAAAAAAACCCAACCTTATCTGCTGCAGAGGCACGCGCTAGACAAGATTACTAACGTACAAGTTCTGGGCCTGCTATATTAACATTATATACATGTCACAGAGCATCGCAGGACAAACCGAGGTTGGCAGGGACCTTTGGAGACTCCAATCCCCCTTGCCCTGTCATGGGCCACCACTGAGTAGAGCCTGGCTCCATCCTCTTCACATTTTGTACACAGGTGAGATTCCCTGAGCCTTCCCCTCTCCCAGCTCCCTCTGCCTCTCCTCACCCATCAAATGCTCCTTAGTCATCTTTGAGACTCCCTGGTGGACTCAAGAGTGCAGAACTGGACCCAGCACTCCACAGCAGGCTTGTGGCATCCTACCAGGCACCGTGGACTTGTGCACGTCCAGCTTGTTTTAATGTTTCCTAAACCAACTCTCCACTGAGGGCAAGTCTTCCCTGCACCAGATCTCCCCTCTGGCATCAGTGACCTATGGTTTGTGAAGGCTGGTCTTACCAGTAAAGACCAAGGCGAAGGTGGCATTGAGCACCTTGGCCTCTTTCATGTCCTCTTCATGTTGTCCTTCAGCAGCAGACGTATACTCTCCCCAGTCTCCTGTTGCTGGGGAAATAAACTAGAAACCCTTCATGTCCCTCACCAGATTCAATTCCAGCTGAGGCTCTCCTGATATCATCCCCATATGTTCAACTCCATGCACATGAACAGGTCCATGAAAACTCACGAGAAGGTTCACTGGAAGGCAATCATATGCTTGAGGGCTGCTGGAACCAAAGCCCCAATGCTCTCTTTATTTTCCTACATGACTTTTTTTCTTTCCCTCTCCTCTCAAAAGCAGATCAGTAACTTCACAGCAGAACACCTGCTTGCTATAAGTATATACTTTTAAAAAGCCACATCAAATGTTGATCCCACCACCTTTTATATCCACTCAAAAGACCACTGGATAACTGGACTTTCACGTATTTGTCCAGCAAGGTATAAATACTTTTTTTTGGACTACCTTCAAAGCCAAAGAAAACAGTCGGTCACGTATCAATTTAAAAAGGCGTGAGATTAGCAAGACTGATGTGACAGCAGCGGCTGCACAAGGCAACATGTGCACACCCACTCAGGACCCGGGCTGTACCTGCAAATCCCGATTGTGGTTTTCACAGAGCAGCTGCAAGAACCGGAGGATGGGTTGCATTATTGAGATCACAGCGCTCATTTCCAGTTCATCTTTGCTCTTGTCTGCCGCAGCCTGTGCTCCTTCTCCTGGCGAATAATGGTCATCAGGATCAGCCTCCCTCCGGTAAGTGTTGTAAGCCTTTCTGGTAGCTGCGGAAGCCTCCAGTAACTGATCCCGGACCTCCTCAGTAATTTGGGTCATAGGCTCCCTCACTAAAACACACAAGAACAGACCTTCCTTAGGCAAACTGAATAAAGGGGACCAGAAAAAAAATCTGTTCACGCGTTCCCCAGTACAGTTTCACACGCAGGCCAGCTATTCATCGCCAGTTCTTATGGTAAGTACGTTTAGTGTGATGTGAAGGTCTTGAGTTTAGAAGGGTATCATGTCACTCTCTTTCCACCTTTTATGCGAACCACATTAAAGTTATAAATTCTGGTATTAATTGGTTAGGGCACACACATCTAGCACTATCAGGAGTTATGATAAAAGGACCTGCTATAGAAGAAAATTAGAATTTCTCCACTTATTGTTAGAGAAGGCACTGACCACAACCCACAGTCCAGGGTCGTAACTACGTATCAGATTTGGGCAGCTTGTCACGATAGACAAGGCGGCAGAGTCTCATCTCAAATACTTTTCATCATTTCAATAGTATAATCTCACAAATGGATGAAGAGGGGATGAAGCTCTTGAAATCCCAAGCCAGGGCACCACTGATCTCTGAACTTTGCTCTGTGGGATCAGAGATCAGAGCATTATTGCATCAGTTGAAACAAGTTCAAAACACAGCATTTTACTCCCTTGTCACTTCAGAAACAGAACAACTGGGGATTACCTCTTTTCCTGTTCGGTACATCTCTGTCTGAGTCTTCATCTTTCTTTTTATTTCCTAAGTCACTAGTGTTGACTGTGACAGTAGCCTTGATTTCTTGCTGTGCCACTTTCATGCGATCATAAAAAACCTTAAAGAACTTTTCAGATTTCTTATCTTCCGTCAGTCGGCAGAAGAACGAATGCTACAAGAGAAAATGGAACAGGATCTACATCTTCATACACAGGTTTAAATACAGATTGTTTCACCCTCCTGCACTGTGTGACATCCTGAAGGAACTGGGAGTTTAAGTTTTCAGGAAACTGAAACCCAGAGCAAGGGAAACTCATACTTTATTGTTAAATATTTGTGGTTTATATGTTATATGTTTTATGTTTGTATGTTATATGTCATATGTTATATGTTTTATATAATATATTTTTATTGTTTATATGCCCAAGTGTCTCAGCTGCATTAGCTCATCTATTAACAGCTTCCAAATACATTTCTAAAGAACAGGAAGTGCAATAAGTCATACTAGCCCTAATACATTTCGGCAGCACACTTCTCTCTCAACAATGGAATTAAGGTAAGTACAGTGAATTAAGGTAAGGAAAATGGAATTATCCATAATTTGATTCTCAGTTGAGAAACAAAAGTATGAGCAAAATACAGAGGAAGAAGAACTGTCCTGTCTTCCCGCCCCAAATCAAAGGGGCTGTGACTCATACCATGCAATATTCAATGTTAATCACAGTCCAAAAATGTACAAACAGGGCAATGTAATGAGGGGCATTTCACACTAAGTCTCCATTGCAGCAAAATCTCCTCTTAATTCCTACTCTAATCTGTCTTTAAGTGACAGAAGAACTCAAAGCATTAACTACTTTTAAAAAGGTTTATTAACGTTCTTCTGCCCATATGTGCACAGAGACAGAAAGTTCTTCCTAAAATTGAGGAGAATACAAATCATGCACAGGTCAAAAAGGAAGCAACACAGTGAGTGATCAGACAATTCTTGATGAAACCAATATGCTGTTACATAAATCAGGACCAGAGCTCGAACACGACTGAAGGATGAACTCGTAAGTGGGTCACCTTATGCAGAGTATTACGAAATTAGTTAGCATTCTGCAGCGGCTCGCCATCCAACAGCTTTACATGATGAATAGGAATGAAGCCTGATTTATTGAAAAAACAAATTAAAATGGGAATAGCAATATATCCTGTCTGTGTTTCTGCGAAGCGGAGCACACAAGGCTGTCTCTGGTATGCCTGCCTTTGATCACTCCCAGGCAGCTGCAGTCAGAACAGCACCGAATGACTTTGAAACACTAATAAAGTTGTGTCTTTGATAACAGACAGAGGAGCAACGCTACCATTTAAAGAAGCTGGTCAATGCAAGATATCCCTCCCACCATTGCAATACCTTCACCTGCCCAGAGCATCTCACATGAACTCTTTAAGAGTTTGTTCTTATAACAGAGAGGGGGGAAAGGAGAGGAACACGGCACGGGCACCGCATGTTTGCAAAGCCAACCACACTGATACCTTCTCCTGACATCCCTTTGAGCAGTCTGGTAAAAGAGATGTGTCAGAGCACTGCAGCAGAGGCCTTCTACCAAGTCATTGCAACAGAAACTGCACTGGGCCCTGGGACATGACAAGATGATCGGCGTCCCCAGTTCATTTAATTAATGCAGAATTATTCTCTGACCCAATACTTCATATCAAGAATTTTAATGTTTTCTCATAAAATATACCAAATAAAAACATCCTCTCTCTGAATGACAGTTTACTTATCCAGGCATTTTTTAAAATTCTAAAGTGGTTCTTTGACGTGACCAGACTTACTGGACAGAATACCCTCAAATTACAATCAGAACCAAGAGATACGTTAACGTGGTTTCCCAGGGTTGGGTTATTTAGACAGCCAACTCTTTGAAGTACAGTCTCTTTTTTGGTGGCTACAAACATAGCCAGAGGAAAAGTCTGCATCTAAGTTGCATCTTGAAAATTTTACTCTACCAGTATTACACAATGGACATACCAATAAAAGCATTTTACAGACAGACCAGCATAAACTGCTGGTTCTAGAAAAGGTAACTGTTTTCTGAAAAACAACATGATTTGCTCATCAGGAGAGCGATGGTGGTTCCCTGGCTGCACATCTCAAGAGCCTGCACAGGAGGAGTTTCCCTGCGATGAAGCAGCAGTGAAAGAAAAGATTTTGTTTTAAATGAATCACACTGAAGAAATACCTTCTACACGGATAATTGTTACTTGCTGACAGGCTTAATTTTTATTGTCTTTTCAAGCTTCTTAACTGACTTTCCACTGCACTTCAGAGAAAAAAAACAAATGAAACAAACATTTCCAGTAAAGCTTTCTCGTGCGTGCCATGCATACGTTCAATGGCTGTCACAAAATGATTGTTTCAGTTTGGGTCAGGATGCCTAACACCTTCACACATATGAATCAACCACATGCCAGCCATCAACGATACTGTATTTTCAGAGGTGTGATCTTGCAAGTTGCGCTTGAGCAGGTAATTGGTGGTGATAATTATGACAGAAATCCTGAAATTTACTTACAAATATAGCCTCAAAGCAAAAACTGGAAAAATCTCCCTTTTTAACACAGAATGAGAATGGTTGTTTAATACTACCATATGCCAGGGTCCTGGCTTGCATATAGACATTGTGCAACCACCAATTTAGCCACCACTCAGATCTAGATCTCCTAGAAACCTACTCCAGGACAGGGAACCGTGACCCATAACGTACCACTTTGTGAACTGCATCTGGTTATCCCAGTGCAAGGTAAAGCTACACGAAAGGCAAATGAAGATGAGAGCTTCATCTCCTACTTGAGACACTGGCAGTGGACCAGTTACCTGCTCTTAGAGAATGCTAAAATCAGGCAGTATGAAACTCTTTTATTTCAACTGTGTTTTGTTAACGACTGTTAATGGTCATTGCCATTAAACAAGAGACAGCACATGACACACAGAAGATCACAAGGTTTGCTTTATGAATGCCAGATTCAGCGAACAGCTTTACAAGTACCCGCACCTCAATGAAACACAGTACATCTCCAGAGCACTGCAACCGGCCGATTAAATGAACCAAGACTTCTCTGATGTGAGACTATCAGAGGTAATGTGATTACAATTAATTACCCGGCCACAGAAACTCAAAAACATTCGCGTATGACACGCACAAGCTTCTAACACGATAGCTATGCTCACCACGTGCAAGGACATCACACAAGGAGTTTTCAATCACCTTTAAAGACGGAGCAACCACCACCTACATGAACTCATTCAAAACTAACTTGGGGCAATGAAAAGAGCTTTGCTAAGAAAGACACAGGGAAAACGTTCTTGTGTAAAAGTTTGCAGGTTCAAAGTCTGGCAGGTAACTGGAGAATATATATATATGTGTTGTGGTGCACTGTTTCTATGCAGGTAAGAAGCACTAAGCAAGTAATGCCTTATGTAAAGCTGTATGCTTTATCTTTTACAGGTGCATGATACATCAAGTGTTATGATGAGCCTGTATTTGTTTTGAAGGGATGGAAGGAGAAGAATCCAGTACAGGCATCGCAGATCTGCAAGGCCAGCCACACCGATTCCCTTCTGACATCCAAAGTGGTCTATCAAAATACCCCAGAGCAAAACAACCAATATCAGCAGGTATGAGCAAACCTGTGCAATAACTTCTGCTTCCTTCTCCTCTCCATCACCCAACTCTGCTCCTAAAGAAATCCAACCAGAAACCTCATGCACAGAACATCCCTGACACCAGCACACTGCCTCTGAGCCAAAGGAGGACGGTAAGTCAATACCATCACCACACCATCTAGGACTTTGCTTCCCTGGTCCAGATAAAACATGTTGCAGAAGGAAAGCCGTAATCCAAGTGACTGATCTCACTAGAAAATAGATCAAAGGCTAAGTTTAAGCTATAGCACATTGATCAGCCTGGCCCATGTCTGAGCACCATCAGCCCTTTGCTCTCGCTCATTAACTGAGCCCAAAGTTGTGTTTAGGTAATGCATCTTTTTGAGAAAAGCGTCCTATTTTTCTTTAGGAAGCATCGGAGATTATGAACTATGTCTGTCTGCAGTCTGTTCCAGCATTAACAACAGTTAGAAACATGTGATTAAGCTCCTTTTTATGTCACTAACTTCCAATCACTGCTTTAAAAAAAACAACTCCAAACTTTATTTCTTTTCTGCCATTATTCCCAGGAAACTTGGTATCCTCTCCTCTTCAAATTATTTACATACACTGTTAAATGTTTGCCTACCTTTTTCGCTAAACTGAAAATACTATTTTTGCTTTCTGGCATTTTATTCAGAATTAATATCACATTCTGTGGTGGTTATTTTTTGGCATGTTCTTAAATATTGCAGATCATTAACAATCTGGATGGTAGGATCACATTTAAGAGAAGAAAAATCGGCACAGAAGGGGCCCATTTCCTAGCGTTACCACTTCACCTCTTCTCCCTGCCTTGCCTTCCAAGATGTTTGGCACAGAATATACATGATTTCCAGTGATGAGCAGAAGAACAGCTCAGCTAACTACCCAGCAGTTCAAGGGAGCAGGATTACAGAGCAGGATAACCACATGGCATGGACAAATGCTCCTTAACACATCTCATGTACCAGCAATTGGCAGCAAACTCATTTTCTAACCAGCAGTGCTGTTACCTGCCTGTTGGAGAACAAAACCATAAAATGCAGCATTCGGATACCTTTGTGTAAGGTGTGTATAGACCCAGCTAACTAATCCACTATAAATCTAACTAATCTGCAATGTTTAATGATGAGTCTGTGACCAGCGTAGGATTGTTAAATGGCGGAGAGGGGGACGGGACGGAAAGACCTGAATGCAGCTCATTTCTAGCTCCTGGCTTTGAAAGGCTTCTCCAGTTTCGACTGTGTGCGCTGTCACCTTTACTGGGAACGCCATCCTCTGCGCTGTTACCTGTGAGCTGGATCTGCCCTGAAGTCACAACTGTTTTGCCAACCGAGAAAAGCAACAACCATTTGATTGTTTTACATCGAACAGCTTGGCTTTCCGCCCCAGACTCAGTAATTACAGCCTGGACTGAACGTGATGTCTGAACCATCACGTCGTGAGAAACAGAACTAAAACCTATTAGCAAGCGCTGGGTTTAAGATGCATCTGCTGAG